ACACTCTATACTCTATACCATTCTGCGGTAGTTACTAAACTTGGCAGGGTACGTAAATCAATATAAACTAGGTCATTTTTGCATTATGAAGGAGTTAGAGTTACAAATAGGGTTAAAGCTTGGATAAGAATCTTTATAAGGCATTAAACTCTTTACAAAGGACGAAATAAAAATATCAACAAAAATTATCAAGATATTTTATAATATTTATTAAATTCACTATTTAACACTTCTGTTGCTTGCTTTAAATATTGTTTAAATGAATAAAATATCTACCAGAGTATCGTTTGCATCTATATTCTGTCTGCATCATAGTGTTGTCTCTGGTGCTGTTAGATAATTCTAGACTTCACAACACTGCACATTGTCATTGACAATGACTGGAATGGTAACTGACGGAAACAGTACTGGGAGAATTGTCAGTTCAGGAGTTTGGAACATCCTCAAAAGGAAAATACCACTTCTCCAACTCCCATCAGTGGATGTCATACCAAGAATATACAACTATGAAAAACATAATTTCTGTGACTATTATGAAGCTTCATTCAGAACCTCGCAATTAGTGGAATAAATTAGTAGTTTCAATTAGCGTAGAAGCGTGTTTTGGTTTGGTTTAATTATTTGGTTTTCTTTAATTTCAATGTAAGAATTCAGAACATCAAAATTAGTGGTAGACATCAATTAGTTGATATCTTTGAATAAGAAGACTAAGGCAGGAGCATAATGCTATCCATGTATTCGTGCATGGTGGGCGGAAAAAGGACTCTAGGGTGGGGATCCTTGACAATTCTGTTTGACGATTCATTTGACACATCTGAATTTGATTTGAAATTTTGTGGATTTGTCAGTCTTTACGGAGCTTATTTTATGTTATTCATTATTTATTCTAATACTGATAGTTGTATAAAGGTAGTAAATCTAGATGGAAATTGTGGCAGAACTTAAATTAACAGTGACACTGTCGCGATTTATCGAAAAAGACTCTAAAATAGTTGGTTGTGTAGCGTACGGTAGATCTCGACAAAAATCGAGTGAAATAATGGAACAACTTTTCGCTAGTAAGTGACTATATAATATACATACGTGTAATAAACCGATCATTTATGAAATTCACTTAAATTAACTAATTATATATTTTTTCTTGCATTTTTGTTTTTATTTACTAGTCAAAGATTAGATGTCATAGAATTTAGATACGTCAATTTAACTTACCTGCTTCAGTAGCGTATCGGATGTTTATGGTTATAAATAATTATTATAATTTATCTATTTTTATTAGAATTTTATATTTTTATAACAATTTTAATAACTGCCAACATTTATTCGCAACGTAAAATAAAAAAAAATTATTGAGTCTACCCTACGTCTACCCTACATCATAGTTTTACATTTTTTAAATAAAATTAGAACTGCACTGATAAACCGGAATTTAAGTCGGCCATATTTGAGGCCCATCCATATGCTCCTTCCTTAATCTTCTTATTCAAAGATTGATACAGTTATCCAACTTTTAACTTTTCCACTAATTATACTTCAAAATTTGCGAGAAATGTCATTTTGGCTTTTGATTATCTTCCGCCAAGAGAAATTGTGGTAAAAAATCAAAAGTTGATTGTTTTATAAGCTAAATAATTAGGCTTTCTCTATGGATACAAATGACTAAGCCAAGCTGTTGATAGGATATTCTATTAATTTTAATTGTGTTTTTTAAACATTGTGAATGATCGTAAACTAAAAACTATAAAGTGTAATTGAAACTAGCGATGGGAACTATCGAATGAATGAGACTATCGAATGATTAATGAATGAATGATTTCAACTATCGAATGGTTTTATTCGAATAAAATCATTCATTCATTTGTATACTAAAGCATATGTGACAACCTCGCCGTGCGACTAAATGGTTATCGTTGAGCCACGACTATCGAATGCTTTTGATAAATGAAATTTAGTATTCATTTGATTTTTGTATGCGTCAGTGCATTATTAGTTCTTCCAAATTTTTATAACTTCGCCGTATAAATACTGTGCTATTTTTAAAATAGTTAAAATACTTAAAATACTAAATAGTAGTTATTTTTTAATTTTATTTATTGACGATTGTGTGCATGTGCAGGTGGTCAAAAGTTTTCCGAAAATTTGTGTGGTTTTCCGTAGTCCGATCTTTCAATTATTTAATTTTATATGGTATATGGCTATTTTTTAATGGGAAATTTTGAGAGGTAGCAATTTTTAAGAGAGATGAGATGAACTTACAATTAATTTTAAAAATACATATTTGTATTTTAGATGTTTTAATAATATTAATTAGTTGAACTTAATAATCATATTTAAGTAATGTAGTTAAGTAAATGGTTATCGAACTCAAACTATGGGGTGAGAAAATTAAAATGAAAGTTTTACACGTCCCAATTTAAAAAAAAAGTTAACGATGTTTGTATTTTGTTTATGCTATTTCTCTTACATGTAGTTTTTTGCGAAGAAATATTTCATTTATTTTTTAAAGTAAATGCCAGTAAAAGTAAATATAATTTTTAAATAGTAATATAAAGCACCTAATATAAATAATTTTGATTTCTAATTTTTATTTATATTTTCCTTCCGATACACACTGCATGCTTAGAAAATTAATAAATGTTTATATTTTATGATTTTAAAATTTGTTGTTAATATAACAAATTAGTTCTGTAATTATTATTATTTAATAAACCAACGTTGCCACACACAAAAAAATTTAGAGACTATATTATTTTTAAATAGGATCTAATATAAATAATTTTGAAAAAAAATATTTATATTAAAAGATTTTAAATTTTGTTGTTAATAGGTATAACAAATTATTACTGTTATTATTATTTATTAAACCAGTCTTTGTTTAAAAACATTAAAAATCATTTTCCTACATCCAAAATAACAAGTATTATTGCAGTGTAACAACAGAATATTAATAAAAAAATGCAGAATATATAGACATACCTACCCTAACTAACTAAAGCCAAACAATAATATTCTTTGCTAATATCAACTAATACCAAAATATGGCAACAGCGCCCTTCGTAATGTATTTTCTGTGTAAATTCTAGCACCTCAATAAAAAAAATAATGTGTCCTTATCTATATCTGGCTCTGCAAAAAATCAAAGATGCCGGCTTCTTTCATAGCATTGCCACCGACCGCTGTCGGGTTTCTCGGAAAGAAACCTACGTCGCCGGGCGACAACTAAAATTCAGTTAATATTTTATTATAATCGATCCTGACGAATAAATGAATTTCATAAATGAATGAATTTTATAATTGAATGGTTTTTGCTGCCGAATTACTAGAATACAATATTTCAAGGCAGCTGACGGATCTATTCGATAATTTTTATTCGAATAGTTTTGAACGAATGTTTTCTTACTAAAACTATCGAATTATTCGAATGAAATGCAACTATCGAATGTTTCGATAGTATTCATTCGATAGTTCCCACTACTAATTGAAACCACTAATTTATTCCACTAATTGCGAGGTTCTGAATGAAGTTTTAGATAAAATAGAAAATTACAATCATTTAACATTAAAAAAATAAACTGTTATTTTGTTGCTCAATTTAAAAGAAAAAGAAAATATAAGAAACACCAAACATCATTAATTAAAATTGTAAACACAGAGAGGTTGTTGTATTGTTTTAAACCCCCACAATGACCAAAAACCGAAACATTTACAAACCAAGACCTACATTTGGTACTGGTCATAAAACACTGATGTTTACGCAATAAGATGCACTATTTAAAGTCAAAGAAAACAATATATATATCTAAGAATGTTCTGTCCAAAAAAGAATATCGATATTATAGAAATGTTGCAAATACTCATGTTTTAAGTATTTTTTTTTAATTTAGTGTACATAAGTTACTTAAAGTATATACTTTGTGTTTTAGCTAATTTTATTGCAATACCACTTCATTCAAAGATATGTTTCAATTGATTTTTGTGGAAAAATTTGTAAAGTTCCATACTGAAATTTGAGAGATTCAACGTATATAAAATTAGTAGGAATCGATATTTTGGAACATTCCTAACTAGACTATATGGTATTTGGTTATTTCGCGTGGGACTGTGCAAAATTTATGATAATTTTTAGCGAAATCGTATTTCTTTTTCGACGTTTGCGTAAATACGACAACGCACGGTGCTCATTTTAATGAACCGCAAATGTACTCTTTACATAATAATATAGAAAACCGTATGATCGATAAAAAATCATCAGTCCAGTTGGCTTGAAAATGACGATCGATGACATTCTCAATATAATTTTACATAAAATTAATTCCAAGTGTTTTTCATTTTACAGCTTGCGGTAGTCAGTTGTATCCATAAAGAAAGCCTAAGAGCGCTTGCACATACACCGGCAAAATCGGTGCCGGAGTCGGCGCCGGCTTTGCAACCGTTCCGACAGTTGCATTTAATTCTATTGTATTTGCCGGTCCATGACTATTTTACCGGATCGGAGTATATGTGAAGGAGCTAATTTATTTATATTGCAATCAATTTCAGCTCCGGCACCGGCACCGATTTTGCCGGCGTGTGTGAAAACGCTCTAATAATTAGCTTAAACAATAAACTTTTTATTTCAAACTGACAGGTAATAATCAAAAGTCAAAATGACATCAATCGCTAATCTATATCCATTCTATGTCGTTAATTTTGAAGTATAATTATTAGTGAAAAAAGTTAAAGTTTTTCTACTAATTGAAAATTTCTACCAGTAATTTTGACGTTCTGAAGCTTACATTGAAATTAGAGGAACAAACTTCTACGCTAAATGAAACCAATAATTTATTCCACTAATTTTAAGGTTCTGCATGAAGCTCTAGAAAGAATATAGATATATTAAATTTATAAATAGTTAAGAATATAATTAACATAACCGTATATAATACCTATATATTTTTTTTTATTTTTGTAATTGATATCGATATTTTCGAATACTTATTATATCTAATATTTTATTCCAGGTTCGTGATTTGGTAGCCCAATGTACCTGCCCTACCCAGTTCCCTATGATTCGAGTCTCAGAAGGAAAATACCGAATTGGAGATACAAAAGTTCTTATTTTTGTGAGGGTAAGTCATTGACAGATATTATTTTTTAGTTCTGGAGCCTACCCGATTTGAAATGATTACGATCTCCCAAATGTAAAAAAAACGCTTTATTGTACAAAAAGCCAAAACAGCTTCATCGACAAAGCATTCACAAAACAAAAAGCACAAAAACAAATATACAAATAATAAAAAAATGTTACAATACAAATCAATTCAAATAAATTTACGTCATTAAAATTACAAATAAAACATACATAGACATTGCAGAACACAGGCGTATCAAGAAAATTTTACAAAAGGAAAACTGTAAATGGATAAAATCATGTTATATATCATAAAATCAAGAGTTATAAAATATTATAAATTAAATACTAGACTTTTAACCAGTGTGTGAGATGATCAATATTTTAAAATTCAAAATTGTTCATGATTAAACATCAACAAAAAAGTCGTTTACCGCATATAGGGCTCTCTCCAGTATGATTTCAGAGTTTTGCGAAATGCTGAAAGAATGAAAGTGACTTGATATTCAAAGGCAAATGATTGTACATTTTCTTGGCATTGTACAGTATTGAGCCCTTAACTAGTTCTGAGCTCGGGGTTGGCAGATAAATATCGTGCTCCGCATTCCTAAGTGGATAGTTGTGAGAAGGCCTTTCCGGAATAGCAGATATGTGCTTGCGGATTAAGCAAACAGATTCAAATGAATAAGAAAGGAAGAGTCAGTATTTGGAAATTTTTAAAGAAATTCTGGCAGTGAGTTCTAATGTTTAGTCCCAATAAGTATCGAACTGCTCTCTTTTGAAGTTTGAAAATACGGTCAAATTTTGTCGCGCAGCAAGTACCCCAGAATGGAAGGGTGCAGAAACGAAGATGCGACTCAAAAAGGGCATAATAGACCATTCTAGAGGTTGATGAGTTAAGTTCCTTAGAAACTGATCTTAGCGCAAAACAGGCAGCGCTTAGTTTCTTTGATAAAGCTTCGATGTGCAAGTCCCATTTTAACGAGTTGTCTACAACAAGTCCTAAGAATTTCACAGAGTCCACGACGTCAATAGTGGTGTTATTAAGTACAAAAGGTTGTATAGTACTTTTATATGACAAAACTTTAGTTTTTGAAAGGTTGAGGCATAGGAGATTAGAATCGCACCAAGATTTAATGGTTAGGTTAAGGACGTAAGTCACTGGATATAGTATTATATAGTGCCGTAACATCTGGGCCGCTCCAAGTGAAACTAGTATCGTCTGCAAAGAGGCAGATTTTACCGCTAATGTCTAGATTTGCAATGTCGTTGATGTCGTAATTTGGCATTAAAAAATACAACCATAAATTTTCACTCCTCTACCATCAACCCCTATTATAGGGGTTGTTTTACCATCAACCCCTATTATAGGGGTTGTTTTTTAATTTTTTGTTATCATACTCCTCCAAAACTGCTTAACCGATTTCAATGAAATTTTATATGTATATTTAGTAGGTCTGAGAATAGGTTGTTATCTATTTTTTATACCCCTAAGTGATATGAGTAACCCACCCCAAATTATTTTTTAATTTTTGGAAAACATTTTTTATTTTTATTTTTTATGATGTAGCATTAAAAATAGATACAATCCTAAATTTTCACCCTTCTACCATCAACCCCTATTTTTTAATGGCGATATTAGTAGTTCAATAATTTTAATATAACAACAAATTGTTTTTAAACATTGTTAGAATACGTGGTGAAAATTAAAAACCTGGGCGTGACTGGGTATATCCGGGTATGACCGGGCATAATGGTATTTTCTCAAATTCAATATACTATTTATTGACCTTTTGGGTCTATACCGAGTACAAAAACTTGTGTATTTACCCAAATTTCAAAATACCGGTTACTTACTTGCTCACCACCGACCTTAGCCACAGCAACACGTAAAAAATAAGTCTTATTTTTACGTTATAAATCTTAGGAACATTAAACACCCTGTATAACTATTCATATATAACTTTAGTATTTAGAAGAGACATAATACTAATTAAAGAAATAGATATTACAAATGTTAACAATCTTTTCAGATTTTAAGGAAGCATGTCATGGTCCGGGTTGGCGGCGGCTGGGACACTCTGGCACACTACCTGGATAAACACGACCCGTGTCGGTGCCGGGGACAACACAGACCAACGCAAGGAGCTAAACTGGTGCCGGGAAGGGCACCCGACCTTCATGGAGCTCAAGTGTTCTATGACAGGTTAGTTTGATTGTAATATCTTTAAACTGTGCCATCCTTTTCTCGGAACAACTCACGACATTTTTAACCACCCGGTAACTTCTAACTAGCTATATTGCTGAGAAATCTAATAAGTAATTAATTATACGCTGCACTTCATGAATGATCGCTGATCAAAGTTCTTATGTATCGACAGGTTTGTTTAAACTTTTTTTGTGATTCTCTTATATTAATCAGAATGTCCATCTGGTAATAGATGTTCCCATCTATTACCAGAATGTGCGAGGCCTGCGAAGTAAAACAAATGAGATTTATAATGCAATTTTGTGTACGGACTTCGACATTATTGCCTTGAGTGAATCATGGTTAAACTCAGATATTTTAGATACGGAGTTGTTTGACGCTAGATATAATGTTTTCCGGAAAGATCGAAATTATGCGCAATTGTCGTGTAGCAGGGGTGGTGGTGTGGTCTTAGCAGTTCGAAATATATTTTCGGTATCACAGATTGTTTTATCCGAACTTCCAATAAATATTGACCTCTTAGCCTTAAAAATTACGTCAAACTACTCTATATTTTGTGTTTTTATTGTATATATTCCACCTAATGCAAAAATTTCAGATTATACTCAACTTTTTGAAACAATGTACGGATATAGCACTCTACAATTCTAATATTTTATTTATTGGAGATTTTAATTTACCTGATTTTGTTTATCAATCTAATTCTAACGGCGAGAAACATTCTTCAAGGTGATTTTGCTAGTTTCTTTAACCTAATTCAATATAACGCTGTAGCTAATTATAATAACAGATTTCTCGATCTGGTTTTTGCAGATCCATCTTTAAAGTGCACAGTAAACAAAGCCCAAGACATTTTGTTGACTGAAGACGACCACCATCCGGCTCTTATCGTTTCTTTGGAAGCCGGTCAGTCCAGAAAGCCCAATGCTCAGAAATTTGATAACACATATTATAATTTTCGAAGAACCAATTTTCCTGATCTTTATGGCTATTTTGCTGAGTGTAATTGGGATTTCTTGGATGAAATCTCTGACGTGGATGCTGCTTGCGAACGATTTTATGGGGTGATCTATAATGGGTTGGATTTGTTTGTACCTAAAACGTCCAAACGTAAAAGAAATTATCCTCCGTGGTATGGTTCAGATATAATTAAGCTTATTAAACTTAAAAATAATACATGGAAGACGTATAAACAATCAAAACAGAATTTTCACTTGGTAAAATTTAAGGAGCTTAGAGCGCAAATTAAGCAAAATATTAGTAAAAACTATAGTATATATTGTAGAGACGTTGAGGGTGGTCTAACTACTAACCCCAAGCAGTTTTGGCAATTTATAAATAATAAAAGTAAGTCTCGGTCGTTTCCTGAACAAATGAAGTTTAATGATGTCGAACTCAATGATACAAAATCAATAGCAGATGCATTTGCAGACTTTTTTCGATCGTCCTATATTGTATCAGGTAACGGTCATATTCGTGAAGGTAGCACTGAAATTAATTCTTCCTTTGGTGATATAACACTGAATCGGGTATCGGAGAGAGATATCTTGCACTGCTTAAAAAAAATGAAGCCCACCGGAGTGGTAGGACCCGATAAAGTACCCTCATTTCTGTTGAAAGATTGCGCAATAGTTTTTTCCTCCCCACTAACGAAATTATTTAATCTGTGCCTGAAGACAAATACGTTTCCTGTTATCTGGAAAACCTCAAAGATCATCCCAGTATTTAAAAAGGACGATAGAAATAATATTGAAAATTATAGACATGTAACAATAATTTCTAATTTTTCCAAATGTTTAGAAATGGCTCTCTATGGCGCATTGGCGTTCCAGGTGGGAGGTAGAATTTCATCAAATCAGCATGGTTTTATAAGGGGTCGGTCGACGACAACTAATCTTTTAAGTATTACACAATTTATTGCTGACTCTATTGATACAAAGAGTCAGGTCGACGTTGTGTATACTGATTTTTCTAAAGCGTTTGACCGACTTGACCATGGGATCCTTCTTTACCATCTGGATCGGATTGGGTTTTCAGCTAACTTATTAATGTTGTTTGAGTCCTATTTAAAAGACAGATTGTTGAGGGTGGAGTATTGTGGGTCAGAATTCGAGTCGAACTGTTGCGCTACTTCGGTGTACCCCCAGGGGTCTATTTTGGGACCGTTATTGTTTAACATTTTTATAAACGATTGTACTGATATAATTGATTTAAGTGTCTTACTGTATGCAGACGACATGAAGATATTTTCCCGCATTGATTCGCCTCATGATTGTGAACGGCTTCAGAGGTGTGTTGATCGATTAGTTGCATGGTGTTCATATAATAACTTACCATTGAACGTTGAAAAATGTAAAGTCATGTCTTATACCTTGAAATCGGAAACACAAATTTATAATTATTCTATCGGTGATACGATGATAGGTAGAGTATCTGTTTTTAAAGATTTGGGTGTCACATTTGACAGTAAACTATCTTTCGTTCAGCATATATCTGAAGTCGTTCAATCTTCGTTTAAGGCCTTGGGATTTATTGTGCGTAATACTAGAGATTTTAGCAATAGTAACACATTAAAACTACTCTATTATGCTTTTGTAAGATCAAAGCTAGAGTATGCATCAATTGTATGGTCGCCGTTTTATGCGGCACATATTAATGCTCTCGAGCAGGTACAGCGTCGTTTTCTGAAATATCTGAGTTTAAGAACTGATGGGGTTTACCCGCAAATTGGCTGCTGTCACAGCTCTTTATTGCAGAAACATTCTCTAGATTCCTTGGAGGTTCGACGGACAAATTCAGAGCTGAAATTTTTATACAAGTTATTACATAATGAAATTGATAGTCCGGATGTTCTCAGTCAAATCAATTTTCTGGTCCCACGTAGCTCTCGGTATAGCTTTACATTTTATGTGGCCTCCTCGCGCACAAATGTAAGTAAATATTCGCCATTGAAACGTATGCAGGATGCATATAATTTATATCAGTGTAATTTTGATATTTTCAGGGGTGCGTTTTGGTTTCGGTTGTGAAGTTCAGTTTAGTGGTTTTTTTTTTTCTTGGTTTATATTGTTGTTGTTTTTTTTTTTTTCATTGATATATTTTTTCTCATTGATGTTATTTTTTGTTTAATTTAATTATTTTGTATTGAATTTTTTTTGTGTGTAACCCACTCTGTAATTGGCGTAAGCTGTAGAGTGTTGTAGAATAAATAAATAAATAAATAAATAAATAAATAAATAAATAAATAAATAAATAAATAAATATTTTTAATTTCGATTGCTTTGAATGTCTTGATTTTAAAATTGGATGTTTCACGTTATACATTTTCAGTCAATTGTTGTATACATCGGTTCTGATCGTAAAGTTATTGATTTTTGTCTTATTTGTATTCTTTGCTTATGTTCAGAGTATTTTCTATTTTCTTCTCGTTCCACTGAGGTTGTTCAATTCATCATCATCATCATCATCATTATTTTCAACGATTTCCAATTATGGTTTAAAATAATTAGAATCGAAGTGGTTAATCACTGCGACCTTAAAGATCTATTGTGTGCCCCCCTTCCTTGAGTCATCACAAAGTCTATATCCCATCATACCCCTGTTGTAGAGGGGACAGGGTATTTCCCATCCTCCTCTGACAACAGTTCTTCCTCCGAGGGTACACACCTTCCACGGTTGGAGTTTGGCAAATTGAGGAATTTAATAATTTGATCGTTGTGTGACATGTATTTTCCTTATAATGTCCGTTTGAAGTATCCAGGTTTCGCATGCCTAGGTCATGATACATAGTACACATTGGTCGAATGTTTTCTTCTTCAGATAAAGTGGCATTCTGGATTTGATTTAATCTATTACCTATCAATATTTATAGCGACTGTATCAACGTTAGACATCTTTATTTCTATTATAATTGAATGAGCCTTTTAAAACTACTGTTTAATACATAAGTGTAGTAGGAATAAAGTTGTGCTAGGAAAAATATTAATTCAAAAACTAAGTGCATGGATTTTAGTAACATCTACGCTCGTTTTGAACAAACTTTGACTGAATTACATACAAATTATCAACTTAAAAGTACGAGATAAAATCTTAAAGCCGTATTTCTTTAAGCTTTATTTATCCATGATTTAAGAATTACCTTCAATCTCGATGATTTAACTTTACGACTATTTGCATTTCTAAATCCTAAGCAAAGAACGTTTCAAAATAAAAATTTCAGTAATCAACCTGTTGTAACTGGGTGTGTTTAAGGAATTATATGTTACTCATCTCTCCAATCTTTTTATTGACATTGTCGGTGAGTCACTCTTTTGATTTTTTCCTTCTATCAAATCCCACACGCTGAAGTAATTTAAAAATGTTGTTAATTAAAAAGTAATACTTTATTTTGTGTATACGCTCACGCTATGATCAGTGTTAGGTCATTGGTCTAAAAAGAACTGTTCAATGATGATATAGTGGAAAACTGAACTGCTCAATATTGATTTTTGAAGTTTTTTGAAGTTTCCACTATACCGGGTGCGTCTCAAGCGGCTCACCTTAATAATATAACTTATTAAGAATAACTTAACACTAAAAACATTAGACGATGAAATTTATTTTTCCAAGGTTCCTTAATTAAACATTGACCTAGACCCTAGATTAAAATTTAAAATACATTCTCCCATTCTGTTTACATGCACATACCAAATTAATTGTTTTTTTTTTTGGATTTCTTCTTCGATGGTTATCTCTTTCTTTGTTATTATTCTTATTTCTTCATTTCGCACTTTTTTGAATTTTGATTTTCTTGCCGATCTTCTGAGGAAGTCCATTTCCATATGTCCATATGTAAGTGTACTCTTAACCATCGTGTCATTTATGCGAGTTTTTGTTGCTATGTTTATTTTTTTTAAAGGATAGAATTTAGTAATGCTGGTCTGTAATGCTTCTGGTTTTGTTGATTCTGTTGTTGATGATATTGTTGCTTTTTCTTTTGTTATTATTTGTGTTAGTACCTAGGTATGTGAATTCAGTACAAGCTTTTATTCTGTTTCTGTTTTCCATTTCTAGCTCTTGTCCTTTGTTACCGACGCATAGATATGATAGATATTCGTTCTTTTTAAAATTTATTTGTAAACTCCATCTATCATACTCCTAATTTAATTTTTAAACATATACTCAGTGTCCTCTACGTCTGAGGCCAGTATTACTTGATCGTCGGCATAGTGAATCGTATGCCCATTCCACTACATTTTCGTCTCCATTGTTGAAATTAAAAAAAAAATCAATTTTGTTTTAAGCAAAAATATCAAGTTTAAAATATGTTATTCTATTCAGAGTGTCATTTTCTATCTAATAGAGTAGAAAAATACCGAAGGTGTCATTTAAAAATCAAAAGTTGTAGTAATTTCCGGTGAAACAGGAAGTGATCGAAAAAAATTGAACTAATGGTCAGTCAATCCTAATTTATGTCATGCACTAACATTCCAAATTTCGTTTTTTTTTCTGAAAAAAATAAAAAGTTATAGGGGTGAGCCACTTTTGAGATGCATCCGGTATACTACAGTATATAACTATACGACTATACTACAACAAAACTTAAAAAAAGTCTTCGCGCACTTCAATTTGTATTTAGCTAAATTGAATAAATGTAGAACTGGTTTTCACATTTACTGAAACTGTAAATATACCTACTGATCAGTTTCTACGAAAACGTGTTCTTATGTTCATCGTGCGTTCATTTAAAGTGAATCAGTCAGACTAATAAAATATATTAGAGCAAATTAAAGTCGTAATTTTTTTCAGATCTAATGTTTCTCCGGCATCCCTTCCACCTACAATCAACGGCGTCAACAGCGGACCTCACAGTCTCGGCCCTCCAATGAATTCCCTCAACAGATCCCGTTCAAAATCGCCATCGTTCTTACATGCTGACACCAGAAGATCTATCAGCCCCAATTTTCCACGAAAAAGTTTGGCAGCACCTCCCAATATTAGGTATATACAGGGTGTCAAAAAATACTGTATCTAACTTCGGTGTGTGATTCTACAGATTAAAATAAAAAAAAAGTTTCTATGAACATATGCCCTTAAATACTTCCTATTAAAATAATATATTGTGAAACTTGGTACTTTTACACTTATTTTAATGCCAAAGCGAATGGCGATAGTGTAAAATTCCGTAACAGACCAGAAGGGGTACTTTACATTAAAGTTCTAAATAGTACTACTGGTCATCCTTTTTTAACCTTATACAGGTCAGGTCAGGTAATAGTGATACCTAGGTGCAAACCTAGAGTACGTACTAGGATGTATTTCAGGAAAATATTTTACCTTCTATAGGGTGGCTCAAAAAACTGTGAGTGGATCGGGATTATTTTTTTTTTGAATGGAAACACCCTGTATATTATTGCATTTTTGGAATATTTCGATAGTTTCAGAGATATTAATAAATAAATAAAAAATATTTATTTTTCACTCTTTCTTCAAAAAAATTAATAGAAATACAAGAAATGTACTGAAATCAAAACTATACTAGGTATGTGCCCTGTACTCACAAAAAGACCAAGAACAAAACTGGGCCTTGCCCACTAAACCAAGGCTGCGAAATGAGTAGTTCAAGACCAAGAGGGTCTTGGTCTTGATCGTGCATTTGCTAATTACTAATCGGAATTATAACTATTTTTTTATGTTTTGTAGATCCAGAAGTCCTACACCCAACTTTACTTCAACACACACGACCAAGTTAGCTACCAGAAGTTCACAGCCTTCAGTAAAGACAGCATCGTCGGGACCCCAAAGTTTACCTCCTTATTTACCCCAACCCAAGCATGTAGCCAGCATACAGATACCTGTAGAAAATAAGGTGAACTAGAAACAGCTTTTAATAATTTTTAATTTTTTAATTAATAGTTTTTGATTATTTTTAATAATTTTGATGATATATATATTTTTTCATACCAAAGAATATTTTATTGTCTCCCACATGGGTCAAATACATCACCTTACTTCTTCAAAGTATGGTTGCTCAATTTTTACTATAAATCCATTTAGGAAGGTAGCGTATGATCAAAAAAAGAAATGGCGTCAGCGATGGCTATGAACTGAAGATCGCTGTCATTTTACATGTACATTTATATGGGAAATGTCATCTCTAAACGTCATTTTCTCAAAATTGACATAAAAATTGTCAAAATTAACATTAATTATAGAAGGATTAAAAAGGATAGTACGTTTCCAGACAAACAAATTTTTTTTTTAATTTTAAACTACACCATTTATAAAAATAATTTTTACTAATATAAAAATAAATTACAACCTTCTTATAGTCAACTGGTAGAGGGCACCATTAAAGAAGAACGCGGGCCAAATAATGATGTTTAGGGCTTGACCTCGCCAAAATTATCACCGATTGTCATTCCTGAGCCATCTTTGACGCATTTTTTTCGATCGTATGGTATGTAAGATGTGGAAAAGATCAAACTAAATATAAAACTTTATGAAAAATAGCGGTTACCACCTATTTTTCACAAATAGTCAGATTAATTCAAAATATCTGCACTTTTAGTTAGTTTCCAAAATTGCTGGTTAATTTTAAAACTAGCTAAGTATTTATTTTAACCGTAGCATAATATGCTAAAAACAAAAAAAAAATAAATTAATTTCCTAAAAATAATAAAAATTAATTTTAAACATATAATATATGTTTAAAGATGGAAATTTTGTAGAAAAATATGGCCGAAATATATATTTTTTCAAGCAAGATATTTAACTTAAATTATTTTTAGGTACTAAAATCCGAAGCAGTTCTTCAAGTCAATACCGAGTCACACAGCAGCGATACTCACAGCGACACCTCATCTCAAATGTCCGACGAAGGATACCGAAGTTTAGGTATCGTTCAAGATAAAAATAAGAAAAGATCTTCATTGTACAGTCAAAACTCAGCCGAGGATGTTGAAGAAACCGGTAAGTGGTTTTACAAATTTGTCCAATCACTTTAAATGAATTTTAATGAAAGAATAAAAAAACAGTCGAAAGTTTTGATTTATATTTATGATAAATGTTTTTACTACGCCTATGGTGTATCCAGTGGTATCATACTAATTAATTACGAAAAAAACGTATTAAAATGTTAACAAAAGGTACAAAACTAGTATCGAGGTATAGCACATATCAAGTACAATAATATCAGAAAAAGAATTATCGAATTCAATAAAAAAAAACGCTAAAAAGGTGTAGTGGACTGTTTATTTCCCTGTAAAACATAGCTCCTGGCTCTTTCTTATCATTGCGCCTTTTACACTTGAAAGCTGAACAAATTACCATTGTAATTAAATTTATACAAGGTTCACTACACACAACCAACTATTAAAAATCGCTAAAATTGTCGCTGATGACCAGTTGATGACTCATTCGTTATGTCGAAAAAATGGCGTCTAAGGTCACAAATTCTGCTGCAGCCCGTATGTGGGCGTATGTCATTGGTTTGTAGCTTCTGAATAACGGTCTAGGTAAAGTATCTTGCTCATTTGCCAACTCAGAATTAGAATTTAGAGTTAGTAACCCGCATTTTCATTGGAAGGCACTGTCATATTTATTTCAAACCAATAATAATTAATAAAATTACTATAAATCACTATAAATAATGAATTGTTTGTAATTGAACTCTATTTTCTGTATTATTAATCCGGTAAATGATGGAGATGAACAATTGTGATTGATTAAAATTTTATTTTAAGATGAAACTTTTGTTATAACAACGTTCTGAGAATTTGAATAATGAATTGAATAATGACAAGACAAGTGACATCTGTCTAAAAAAGACGACAAGTCGGTCGTGACAATTGGGGTATGTAAGTGAGACGAATGACAATTGGGTTATGTCAAATTTAGAGTGACGATTTTGATTATGATATTAAAAGATATTGATATTAAAAGAAATACATATTCTATGAGTTTGCCTAACGATTAACATTAATTTAAAAATAAATACCCAACATGAATAACGAACAAAACGTTAAAAAAAACAGACCACAGACCACACAAAACAAATTGTTGGTTAGTAGCAGAGTTTGAATAAGAAAACTAAGGAAGGAGCATAATGCTATCCATGTATTCATGCATGGTGGGCGGAAAAAGCACTTTAGGGTGGGGATCCTTGACAGTTCTGTTTGACGATTCATTTGACACATTTGAATTTGGTTTGAAATTTTGTGGATTTGTCAGTCTTTACGGAGCTTATTTTATGTTATTTATTATTTATTTTACTACTGATAGTTGTATAAAGGTAGTAAATCTAGATGGAAATTGTGACAGAACTTAAATTAACAGTGACACTATCGCGATTTATCGAAAAAGACTCTAAAATAGTTGGTTGTGTAGCGTAAAATTGAGTGAAATAAACTGTAAGTGACTATATAATATACATACGTGTAGTAAACCGATCATTTATGAAATTCACTTAAATTAACTAAATTATATATTTTTCTTGCATTTTAGCTTTTATTTACTACTTGTCAAAGATTAGATGTCAAAGAATTTTGATACGTTAATTTGACTTACCTGCTTCAGTAGCGTATCGGATGTTTGTGTTAATAAATACTTATTATAACTTATCTATTTTTATTAGAATTATATATTTTTATAACAATTTTAATAACTACCAACATTTATTCACAATGTAAAATAAAATAACAAATTACTGAGTCTACCCCACGTCTACCCTACATCATAGTTTTACATTTTTTAAATAAAATTAGAACGGCACTGATAAACCGGAATTTAAGTCGGCCATATTTGAGGCCCATCGCGGTTTACCTAAGATTTTTGATATGCTCCTTCCTTAGTCTTCTTATTCAAAGGCAGCAGAGTTAGTAGTAATCAGAGATATAGATGTAGTAGTATTTTGGTTTAATGGCCACAGATGCCAGGCTATCCGGCCGATGAATTATCGTCTTTTAATAAAAATTAAAAAGCATTGTGAAATTATAAAGCTAAAATAGTATACGGTTTTATATTAACTCTAATTTTTTGAAGCTTATTAAAAGCTTCATTTAATAGCTGTTGGTAAGAAGTTTCACTTCAAATATGCGCACATAGTGCACACACAATTTTTTTTGTTGAAAAAATCTGAGAAAGTGATTGGGCTATAATATTTTTTCTCGATAATGTTAATCGTACTTTATAGAAAATCAACACATTTACACCGAAGACGAACTCAACGACGTCGGTTTAAGAAGAACCAACTTCTCACATAAACTCTACCTAGAGAGTCTCAAAAATTTACGAAAAAGTCCCGAACCTCACGGATCATCGCCTACCTCACCAGTTTCGGAAACCGACAGCGCCAGAACGCTGTTGAGTAATCAGAAACCCAGCAATAATTTGGGTATGAATAGCATGTATTGTGTAATCAATTAAATTTAGTTTGTTTAAGTCTTCATTTGTTTATAAAACCATTGTATTGTATTGCGTTATTAAATACGTAACAAACATATAAAATATTACAGGTTCTCTTGCAAGGATCGCCAACAAAATAAAGGAACGTTCGTTCAGCGAGGACAGGCCTAAACCTAAAAGAGAATCCAGCATCGATCTAGGAGAACCGCTAAGAAACGGAACAGGTGGTAGTCCTAAAAAATCCATTTCGACCAGTAACAACGCCTCACCTAAGAAAGGAGACAGTAAAACGAGCACCTGGAACGGAAGGGGCAGATCTTCAAGACCGAGTCTTACCACAGACACATATGTCTCGCCTTTCCAGAGAAACAATAATGGTATGTTATTTGTATATTATAGATATCGTATGATCATTTGATCAACTATTATCTGTCATAGGCATTTGAACGGCACTACTGTTGTTCGCAATTCGAACAATAGCAGGTGCCACCCTGATGATGATGTAAACGAAACTTATCCAACTTTGCAGGGTGGAACAGTGTACACCGTCGCTCACATTGCCTACCCACCAAATTTGGTCGCCATCGGACATCAACTTTTGACGTTTCTTACGCCAAAATTAACTGTCACAGTGACACGTGTCATTCACGGTCAAGTTGGCCTTGGTTCATTCTATCGACATATCAAATTTCATTTAAATCCGACGATTTTTTGATTTGATCCATTGATGATGGGGTTTCGTAGTGCACGAAACCTCGTCAAAATATCATGAAAAGATGGGGATCGAAGAGGGGAATTCCAGGTTTCAGCTCCCTAGCGCGCATATGGTCTGAGTTACGACGCTCCAGAACCATACAGAGCGTAGGCTACCTCTTGCATGTACTTGTGATGTGCGTCATCAGTTTTTTTTTAGAAATATTTAACAACAAATATCTATCTCAAGAACGAAAATTGTCAATCTCATAAATGAAACGGTTTTGTAAAGTAAACATTCAGGACTACAACATAATACCAAATAAGCAAAATCGATTTTCTAAAATTTTTCGAAAACATTTCTCGCCACCCCCCTGTCGATTTCCTCAAAAACCAAAATGTCTCAAATCGCAACTAAAATATTCTTGTATACAGGGTGGTCCGAACTGTATTCCGGAAACTTCAGCAGCATATTCTGCAGATAAAAATAAGTAAAAAAGTTCGTATAAATGTATGTCCAAAAATGCTGGTAGTTTCGTAGATACATTGTGAAGAAATTTCATTTTTACTTCAATTTTTTCCAAATAATTTCTGAAGTAAAGTCAATATTTGAATGAAAATTGGCGTCTGGGAGTTTTTTGACATGAGAAATTTGATTTTGATGTCAATATGGCTCCTACTAGTAGAGGGCGCCACCTACATATTTTTTAACAGGTTTGAAGAGTAATAACTTTTCGTCCGTACCTGTATAAAACTACTGAGTAAGAAAATATACATTTACGATGTTTTTTATGTAAAAAATGTCTTCTGGTAAAAACCGATACGAGTAATGGTTTTCGAGATATTTGGAATCGAAATTATTAATACCTGTCATCATTGACATTAATTAAACATGTTGACTAAATAGTTATTAAACTGAAATCATAAATTCGAAATATTTTTGTGCCAAAACTTCAACAGAAACTGTTTTATCATCATTTTTAGCAGAAAAATTTATGATTAATTTAAAAAAAAATAAAAATTTTCAAATTTATTATTTCAGTGAAATAACTATCTACTCAATGTGTTTATTTTTCGTCAATAATGACATGTGTTGACCAGTTCCATTCTAAATATCTTAAGAACGGTTGCTCGTAGCGATTTTTACAGAGATATTTTTTACGTAAAAAGTCACAGAGATGTCTATTTTTTCGTTCGGTAGTTTTATACAGGTACGGACAAAAAGTTATTACGCTTCAAAACAGTTAAAACATATGTAGGTGGCGCCCTCTACTAGTAGGAGTCATATTGACATCAAAATCAAATTTCTCATGCCAAAAAACTCCCAGACGCCAATTTTCATCCAAATATTGACGTTACTTCAGAAATTATTTAGAAAAAATCGAAATAAAAATGAAACTTCTACACCCTATATCTCCGAAGCTAAGCATTTTAGGACTTACATTTATACGAACTTTTTTATTTATTTTTATCTGCGGAATATGCTGCCGAAGTTTCCGGAATACAATTCGGACCACCCTGTATTTTAATCGGTTCAAAACGTTCTACGTCTTCCGATGCCATCTCTCCATGCCTGTCTGTCTCTTCATGCACCGTTTCCGAGAGATCTTTCCTCCATAAACTTGTCAATCCCTTCCAGCCAACTTCTTCTCGGTCTACACTGTTTTCTTCTTCCTGCAGGTTTCCAGTTTATAATTTGCTTTGGGATTCTTATTTCTGCCATTCTGTAGACATGCCCGTACCATATAACTAAAATATTCTTACTGATAGTTAATTTTACGTAGAATTGACTGGCACAAACCGTTTTCCGATACTCCAAGAGATCTTGAGTTACTTGAGAAAATCTACAAAAGAAATAATTTTTCCTCTTTTCCGATAATATCTCTAGAACGAAAAGTGTCAATCTCAAAAACAAAACGGTTTTGTAAAGTAAACATTCGGGACGAACAGTTTATCACCGAATCCGAACGGCACTATTTAACAGGCTTTTCAAGGCAAATATACAGGGTGGTCCGAACTGTATTCCGGAAACTTCAGCAGCGTATTCTCCAGATAAAAATAAGTAAACAAGTTCTTATAAATTATGTCCTAAAATGCTTAGTTTCGGAGATACAGGGTGTAGAAGTTTCATTTTCATTTCGATTTTTTCCAAATAATTTCTGAAGTAACATCAACATTTGGATGAAATTTGGTGTCTGGGAGTTTTTTGATATGAGAAATTCGATTTTGATGTCAATATGGCTCCTACTTGTAGAGGGCGCCACCTACATATTTTTAATTGGTTTGAAGAGTAATAACTTTTTGTCCGTACCTGTATAAAACTACTAAGTAAAAAAATATACATTTACGACGTTTTTAACGTAAAAAAGACCTCTTAATAAAAATCGCTACGAGTAATAGTTCTCGAGATATTTGAAATCGAAATTATCAATACCTGTCATCATTGACATAAATTAAACATGTTGACTAAATAGTTAGTAGACGGAAATCATTAATTTGAAATGTTTTTGTGCCAAATCATCACCAATCATCATTTTTTCGAAGAAAATTTTATGATTAATTTAAAAAAATAAAAATTTTCTAAATTTATCTTTTTAGTCCAATAACTATCTACTTAACATATGTTTATTTTTTGTCAATAATGACATGTATTGACTATTCCCATTCTAAATATCTCGAGAAGGGTTGCTCGTAACGATTTTTACCCAGAGACATTTTTTACGTAAAAAAATACAAAAATGTATATTTTTTAACTCGGCAGTTCTATACAGGTACGGACAAAAAGTTATTACTCCTCAAAACAGTTAAATCACATGCAGATGGCGCCCTCTACAAATAGGAGTCATAATGACATCAAAATCAAATTTCTCATGTCAAGAAACTATCAGACACCAATTTTCATCCAAATATTTACTTTACTTCAGAAATTATTTGGAAAAAATCGAAATAAAAATGAAACTTCTACACCCTGTATCTCCGAAACTAAGCATTTTAGGATATATGTATATTTATAAGTTTTTTACTTCTTTTTATCTGCAGAAGATGCTCCCGAAGTTTCCGGAATTCAATTCGGACCATCCTGTATACTCAAGTTGATTTGCAATTGCCTTCCTTGAGGTGGCATAAGGTGGCCTCTAAAAATTACTAAACCAATATGAATCTAATTCAATTTCACAATTTTACAATATTTCTTATATATTTCTTTAATATTTAAAAATATTAACATTTAAAAATGCATATTTTAAAAATGCAATTAATCATTCGTTAATGTAAAATTGCAGGAAGAAGAAGTATGTCTGCAGTAGGAGAAAGAAGAATATCTGTGTCTGCAAATACGTCTCCTGCCAAAAGTAGATTGAAACAAGAACTTCTACAAACCGTCTCTAAATGTGATAACGACGAGACCATGGCACAAGAGGTAAAATTCAGTTTAATTTCTGTTTTAAAAGATTTTGATTTCTATTTAACTCGCCAGGTGGTTGCCATTAATACTTAATTTTGATTAATTTTGATCAAATTCCTTACCTATACGTGATTGTTACCGCATTATTTGTTTTAATTTTTGTTTGTGATTTTTTTACATATAGCCCACAAAACTGCAAAGATCGAGAAGCCAAAAGTTAATTAAGACAGTACAAGTATGCACAACATAATTACATATTGTCATGTGACTTGCACAGCGTGTGGTTTTTCATTGCATATTACTACAATCAGACATTTAATTCGATCTTTTTGTACTATAGTAGATACAAGCCAAGAAGCAAGAAGCCATAAAACTATTCGTTTAAAAGTGCTTTTTAAAGAATTAGAAGTAAAGAAAAGCATTTTTATAGAAAATATTTTAATGATTACATGTTAACAATACAGATATCCAATATGTACTACAATAATTTTATAATACCGGGTGAGTCTAAAAAGTGGCTTACCCCTATAACTTTTTTTTATTTTTTTTTCGATAAGAAACGAGATTAAAAATTAGTGTTATACTGTTGAGTTATACGATTTTTTTTCAAGCGAAAATGTCAAAAGTTGACATATGATATATCATTCTATTCAGAGTGTATCAAAGTGATCAAAAGTTGTAGTCATTTCCGGTGAAAGAAGAAGTGACCAACAATTGAATACGTCAATCATTCTTAATTTATGTCATATATCTTCTTAAATCCAAGCCACTTTTGAGACGCACCCGGTATAACAAAAATGTAGTTTGCTCTACCCATTTTGTAGAAAAAATTAAAATATCAAACATAACAGTGATGTGTGTCTTGTATAAATAAAACATTTTTAGTAGCGTCAATATCGGAATTTTAATATATAGGGTGTCCCAGGCTGAGCACAATAGCACAATATCTAGATAGAGATATTTTGCACATGATTGTTTTACGAGATCTATCGATTAAAAATATTTTCAATCGGTGCCCCCATTTTTTATTACATACTGAAATTCTCTGTAAAACTCTATGAATATTGATGTTAAACACACTATACCTAACATCTAACATTAACCGTTTTTTGAGAAAAAAAAAATATTTAAAATTTTTGGAGGAAAAGAACTACCTGTCAAAAAAATGTGTATAGCCTACAATTCAAATTTAGTGATTACCACAGCCACTGTAACATAAAGAAAAAACATGTGGCTATCTATTTCAAAAATTAAATTGTCATGGAATTGAGCAATTAAAAAATTATCATAAATCATTTTTTTCAAACGGAAACCTACTGTTTTTATTTCACTAATGAAAAGGTTTTTCAGTTCGTTACTTTTTAATTATACATGTTCCTATACCTAAAATAAATCGTTTTTAAGTTATTTAAGATTTAGTTTGAAAACATATATTTTTCTTGATTTTATCTAGCTTCCTTTGACGTTTGTGTCAAACAGTCAGACAATTTATTTCCATCTGTCAGAAAACGAATTATCTGAATTAAATTGAATTTCCTATATTATAAATACTGCCTGAATATACTAAGTATGTAATAATAAATGGGGGCACCCATTTAAAATAAGAAAGTTACCGTCAACTTCCGGTATTTCCGGAAGTGCCGCCGTATTGAAAACATTTTTAATCAATAGATCTCGTTGTGAAACTATGATGTGCAAAAAACTCCGAACTATATGTTGAAGTTCTCTAGAAACTTCTAATGCACGCTCAGCCTGGGACATCCTGTATATATGATATTTGAAATTTCTTGTACTCTACATCGTAGTATACGCGTTTTCAAATGTAAAAAAGATCGAAGGAAATGTAATTTTGCTCGTTGCATGGCTTACATTCATCAATACACAAATGAATACGACAATAATACTTTTCGATTGTTTATTCGTGTAATTTTCTTGTGTTTTTGGATTTTGTTAAATATTATAGCAAAAATATAAATATGTGTACAGGGTTTTTTTACGCAACTGGTTTATTAATTTTTTTAAAATCTAATTTTGATACAAATTTGACTGATATTTCAAGTTAATTATATATGTCTACCCTGTATCCTGTTTCTATATATACTTTCCTTGTATACTGTACCAACTTGTGCAGGTCCTTGATAAGATTGGAGCATTGTTCCTCTGGTTCTAGCATTGTTTTCCCAAATAGAAATTGTCGTTTGCGATCCAAAGCCTCGAAGTGACATATAACGTGCTCTATTGTTTCAGAGGATATTTCCCTCTGGAGTCTGCACTAAAGATTTTCTTGATACAGGTTGAGCTTGTTGATGTAGCACTTGACACTCATATATCCTGTCAGAAGACCTGTTGTATTATAGCAGTTTCTTTGTAGTTTTAGAATTAGATCCTGGATGAAACCCTTTATATGCTTGAGTTCTGTCTGTTTTACCAGTGGACATTCTGCTGTTCCCGGATCCAGTGTTTTACTACTCTACGTGTCATACATTTTTAAAGGAAAATTATACCTGGAAATAATATTAACTTCATCATCATCATTATTTAGCTTATTCGGTGCAATGACGAACAACAGCCTCCCTCAACTCTAGCCATTTCTTTCTATTTTGTGCCATTTGAACCCAGTTTCAAGCCACTCTCTTAATATCATTTGTCCATTGACTAGAAGGCGTCCTATGCTTCTATAGGCCTTGTACGTGTCTTGGTCTCCATTCCACAAGTTTCTTTGTCCACCGTCCATCTGTTATCCTAGAAACATTTCTAGCCCAATTCCATTTAAGATGTAAGACAGATATCACCACATCCCTTACTCCTGTTCTATTTCGTATGGTATGACTGGGTATTTTATCTCTAAGTGTAACTCCCAACATGGACCTTTCCATTTTCCGTTGCATGACCTGTATTCTATGTATTGTCCTTTTTTTGTCAAAGTAAGTGTTTCAGCTCCATACGTGAGGACGTGATCCGTGCGGACAGGCAAGACACACTGGTTAAAGACCAAAATATAAGACCAGAAAATATTAACTTGCAACTCAAATATGCATCTATATACACTTCCCCAATAAATTAACGCACCACACCAAATAACCAAAAGTTTAAGTTAAGTTTTTGTCAAAACCACTTATCCGATTTGGACGATTTTTTTTTGAAAGATAGCTTATTCTTTCCACAATGTTGCTATACTAACTGTATTTTGATAGGAACCCTTTTTATACTAATACCGGGTGTAGCAATTATAACGTGTTTTTTTAATAAAATTTGTGATACCCTGTAGAGTTGATCAGTTACAGTATCAAGTTAAAATTGAAATCACATTTTAGCCTTATCTTTTTTTACATTTTGTTATTTTATTTACTCCATTATCTTCCTTATTACACGAGAAACAACATTTTATAGGATGACATGATTTAATATTGGTTTTAATTAACATTTTCCATTTTACTCACTAAAGTAAGTAGCAGGCTATGGAAAAACACGGCTTACCAGTAAATGTCAATAGAAATGCTAGTTTCTGTGCAAACTTGTAGACCATTAGTATCTCTGAGCTGAGTTTGAAGGGTCCGAGCTGTTACGAAACGTTGTCTTAATGTTGAGAGTTCCTGAATCGAATTGGTTCTTCGATTCCTGCCTTATCCCGGCCTGCGACAATTACTCCCAGTATCTCTATACCGTTGTATAACTCGTAAAATGGTTGAGTGAGTTACATTAAATCGTTCACCAATTCTTCGGTAGCTCCAACCTTCCTCAGACAATATTAATGCTTGAGCACATTCTTCGCCAGTAAGATTTCTTGTTTCACGTGCACGTTGCATATTTTTGATATAATAAAAGGACGAAAACGACTGACACTGTCAACAAGCATCTCTATTTGACATTTACTGGTAATCCGTGTTTTTCCATAGCCTGCTACTAACTTTAGTGAGTAAAATGGAAAAAATGTTAATTAAAACCAATATTAAATCATGCCATCCTATAAAATGTTGTTTCTCGTGTAATAAGGAAGATAATGGAGTAAATAAAAAAACAAAATGTAAAAAAGAAGATAAGGCTAAAATGTGATTTCAATTTTAACTTGGTACTGTAACTGATCAACTCTACAGGGTGTCATAAATTTTATTAAAAAAACACGTTATAAATGCTACACCCGGCATTAGTATAAAAAGGGTTCCTATCGAAATACAGTTAGTATAGCAACATTGTGGAAAGAATAACCTATCATTCAAAAAAAAATCGTCCAAATCGGATAAGTGGTTTTGACAAAAACTTAACTTAAACTTTTGGTTATTTTTTTGTTGTGCGTTAATTTATTGGGGAAGTGTAGGTTTCTAAGAAAATTAATAATGAACCCAATGAGCGGAAAGTCCTGTATATACATTACTTCATCTCAAAATTAAAAAAAAACTGTCTGATATCGTTTAAAGATAATCATCGGAATGACCATTTTTATATGTTTTCAATATACAATATAAAACAATCCAATAATATTTATTTTAATACTAGATTCAAGAACTGTTACGTAAATATGGAAGCATGACTACGTTAGATAAGGAAGAATCGTTCTCGACGCCTAGTTTCGCCAGACAAACTAAAGAAAGAAAGTCCTACAGGAGTCCAAGGAAAGATTCCAGACCAGAGAACAATCACTCGAGAATTCCAGCCCCAGTGACGAAAGCTTAATTTCTTTTTGTTACCTAAAAGTTACTAGTTCTAACATATTCCAAGTTTAATCGTGATTATTTTTTCACTAGACTTTGTATCTAGTAACCAATCAGACAAGTGTAATTAGCTCGGTAATTAGGTATACTACAGCTGTTTTGTGTCCCCCTATTTTCATGATTGGCAAACAAAATTGTTAGCAAACTATACAGGGTGCTACAAATTCGAGGTACGAGCATTGGTATCTCGGAAACCGTAATAGATACAAAGATGGTTAAATTGGGGCAAAGTTGCGCATTGAGATGTTCACCAAGATGTCATCAAAAAAGTTTTAAAAATTTCAAGGATTGCTGAGTTTTTTGGAAAAAAACGGATTTTTTGGAAAATCAATTTTGTTTTTTCCTGTCGTTACTTTTTAGAAAATCAAAAAACTAATTATACATTCTCATAGCCCTTTATTAGGGCTATCTGATGGTACTTTTAGATTTTCAAATTAGCTGATAATTTGTGAGATACAGAGGCTAACTTATTTTTTTTAAATACGGACCTGCATTTTTTATTTCAGATTTTAAACGAACTCGGTCAGGTATAATGATATGCCACACTTGATACTTTTTTTTTGTTTGGTACCTTAACAACAACAAAACTATTTAATTATTATTTAAAATAATTTCAAGTGCGACTCTGGTTTTTTAAATTATTTAATCTGATTATATTCATCGCAACCATATTGATCAGCGCTAATTAACATTGAACAAGGAAAATCGAACCAATTCAAAAATTCAAATAAACAATATTCAGGTCAGCAATTTAAAGATATTATTTTTAACTTTTTTTATTATGAATTTGGTATCTCAGTGTACGATCTAATAATATTCATAATATTAATCGTAGTTATTATAAACAAATCAACTTCTATAAACTGGTTTCTAATGCTCTACATGTTCGAAAGGGTTACCACCCTCCCCAATGCACAAATTTAATTTTTATTCAATCTTATTTATAGCTCGTTGAATATAACTTCTTGTTATAGTTATTGATTTCACTTTTACAAATGACGCCAAGTAATGCCCCTTGAGTTATTGCATTTGATTTTCCATATTCAATGTTTTACCCCATGTCATTGTTAAGTTTGTAAGCTTATCAATATTGTAACGATGAATAGATTAAATCTTAAAATTTTGAAAAACAGAGTCGGACTTGAAATTGGTTTAAATAAATTATGTTCAAATGTCCGAAACAAAAAAAAATATTAAGTGTGGCATATCGTTGTACTCAGGAGACCGAGTTCTTTCAAATTCTGAAATAAAAAATGCAGATCCGTATTTAAAAAAATTAAGATGGCCACTGTAACTCACAGATTATTAGCTAATTTAGAAATCTAAAAATACTATCAGATACCACTAATAAAGTGGCAATGAGAATGTGGAATTAGTTTTTTGATTTTCTAAAATGTAAGGCCAGGAAAAAATAAAAATGATTTTCAAAAAGATCCCTTTTTTCCAAAAAACTCAGCAATCCTTGAATTAAAAAAAAAATGATGGCATCTTGGTGAACATCCTAAGGCGTAACTTTGCCCCAATTTAACCCTGTTCGTATCTATTACGGTTACCGAGATACCAATGCTCGAACCTCGAATTTGTAGCACCCTGTATATGAATATCAAACTGTATGAGACTACAAGATCGTTCTAGCTAGATACAAAGTATAGTGAGAAATATAAGAGCGTATAGTGGACTGATATTTTATGAATTATCAGAAATGATTTCAAAGTCTTATACAGATATTATGAGCATTCCCATTTTTTTTTATACGAAGTTTTTATAACAAAGTGAAACTAAAAGCATTATAGCATTAAGATTTAACATTTTAAACTTGCAATATTGCCTCTAACATTTACAGAAAAAAATCTTTAGACTTAAAGACTTATTAAGGCAGGGTGAATAGAATGTTTTAATGTTTTAAGACTGTAAAAATTTCATATCCTACATAGAGGGGTAAGATATATACTAATAATCGCTTTGGTCCTAAAATTATCAACTAATTAACAGATTGAGGTTAGGTTTAAGTAATTTCATTAACCGCCCAAATTGTTAATCAGTTTGGTAAAGAAACAAATTATTACATACGATCATTATCCAGCTGTTTTTGACAAGCTTATTATAGAATTTAGAAAAATGTTTATATATTTGTAGTTTCAAATCAAAAAAAAAAATTGAAAATAAGATAATAGATTTTTATAGAAATGAGCTCACTATTAACATATGAAGGAATTTTTTAAGCATTCCAATTTTGATACTAAATTTTTATAGAAAAAATAGATATGGAATGTAACATGTAGAATAGTTCCAAGAACTAATAATATTACAGCTACAGGGTGGTCCAAATTGTATTCGGACAACTTTCGGCAGCATATTCTGCAGATAAAAATAACTAAATACATTCTGATAAATGTATGTCCTAAAATGCTTCGTTTCGAAAATACAGGGTGTAGTGAGTTTCATTTTTCTTTCGATTTTTTCCAAATAACTTCTGAACTAATGTCGATATTTGGATGATAATTGATGTCTTGGTGTTTTTCGAAATGAGACATTTTATTTCTATATTAACATGACTCCTCTGTTTGTAGGGGGCGCCACCTAAATGTGTTTTAATTATTTTGAAGAGTAATATCTTTTAGCCCGTACCTGTATTACACTACTGAGTGAAAAAATATACATTTCTGCCATTTTTTACGTAAAAAGATATCTTAGTAAAAAGGTATCTTTTGACTAATTAATCATTAAAACTTAATTAATAAATTGGGAAATGTTTTTGTGTCAATGATTCAACAAAAACTAATTTTATGTTAGTTTTTTATAATCGATGCTAGTAATATCGATGCTAGTTCACCCTGTATCTCCGAAACGAAGCTTTTGAGGACATAAATTTACACGAACATTTTTACATATTTTTATTCACATAATACGCTGCCGAAGTTTCCCGAATACAATTCGGCCCACCCTGTATATATACTTATAATAAAAAAATAATAATACTTAAAAATAATTAATTTATTTTTATTAACAAACATGTTTATCCAGTAACTCGTTATTATGATTTACTTATTATTTTACTTAATAAGGCAATAATGACATAAGGTAGTCCTGTAAGAATTCTTCTGAAGGGAGACAAATTTTGGAGTTTGCAGTTACCACAAAAATATATATTACGTTTTTTTCAAGACAACGATTTTTCTTGACTGTTGAATGAGGTTGTACAATTTTTTCAGTAGGTTTAGTTTTTTAACCAAATTTTATTATATGTGTATTTATTAATTTTACATTTTATCCGTTTATTGTTAGATTTTTTAAATAAAAAACTAATACTAATGAGTTATCTTGGTTTAAACCTATCATCCCTATCCCTAAATTATGTACCTTATTTAAACAAATTCTTCTTCGTGGTCATCCTCGTTTTTATCAGTCTGCTTAGAGAAGAGAACATTGCTAGAGGACTGTCCTTGGCATTACCAACAGAGATTGGAGCAATCTAATCCAGCTTTTCTGCACCTGCACAGTTTTCCACAATCTATCATACAGTTGTAGATAGTGATGTTAATATTTCGAAAACTTTTGATTGTTGCATGAAATTTCCGAAACTTTCGGAACCTTTCGGAAATTTATGCAATTTTAGGAAATTTTACAATTTTACATATTTTTTGTTGATACAATGAATAAATTAGATAGACATTTGATACCAACATGTAAGTGGAATAAAAAACAATAAACATAATATTATTTGTTGTATTTTTAATAAACAATATATAACTCCTAAAAGTCATAAACATAACATATAACAAAAATTATTTGGTAACATTTGTACTTTGTACATAAACCATGAACTATGACTATGAACTTAAAAAAAAACAAAAAAGCACGAAGTATAAATTTAAAAAACGTAAAATACAAATAACTGAATTATTCTATTCCGGAATACTTTCAGGCGCCGAGCTGGTCCCATCTTCATAGAGTATTATAGTAATAATAGTAGTAGTAGTAGTAGTACTGTCTTCGTCAGTTTTTATTTCCAAATCAGGTATATTTGATGTATCATCTGGTTCTGATTCTGAAGGATGATCTCTACCTCCACGGGTTCTAGTGGTTCTGGAGGAGTTTCATGTTGTTGCATATCATGTTCCATATCCACTTTTTGTTTTTGTAGTAATAATTTATTGTTATGAGCTACGAACATTATTTTGCCGGCTCTTTGTGCAGTTAAGCGATTCCTTTTTTAGTATGGATAAAACTGTAAGTACTGAAAGTTCTCTCAGTGGCTGCAGATGACGTTGGTAAAGACAGCAGAGCAACAGCTAAATATTTCAGCTGAGTATTTTTACATATTGCCTGCCACCAACTTAGACAGTCTACATTTTTAACTGACATCCAAACGTAGTCGAGAGCCCATAAACCCGATTTGGCGCAATAATTTGTTACGTCTGTAAAAATGGCTTCTTTATTATTGACAGACTGAGGATGTTTGTTGGTGATATTGTTAATAAATTCCATAGCGGCTATGTGTTCTTCATTGTTAAGGTGCTCTCCCAGGAAACAGAGGGGGCCAAGAGATTCGCGGCAAAATGCATTATTTTAAGAGCCATACGTTTTCTATTTTGTAAGGCGGAGAAGCATTATTTTTCTTCTGATTTAAGAATAAGCATACTTGATACATTTTCGTTAAATTTTTGCTCAATGTCTTGAATTTTGAAAAGAAATTTCTTGCAAAATTCGGATTTTTGCGAATATTCGCGATTTTGGGACCGAATATTTCGGAAATATCGGAAATTTCCTGCAAAATTCGAATGGAAATATTCGCTACCAACATCACTAGTTGTAGAACACCAATTTTAAAATAAAATCTGGGGCAATGGGCTTATTAACAGTTGTTGGCACCAAAAGCCCTGTTTTTTCCATCCCCAAGAGGTAGCATCCAATTCAATCCCCAACCATGCCTGAATTTGGTGATACACCCGCAAACTGTGCTTGGATGCAGTGTCGGATGTTGGCGGTAGAGATACCAAGGAGAAGTCCGAGTTGAGGCTTTGTTGTGCAGTATTGTTGAATTTTACGAACCGGAGTTGATCTAAAGTTTTTATTGATTTACTGGCTTCATATAAGAAAAGAAATTCTTCTCCTACAGAAATTAATTCACTTTTGTTGGCATATGGCGTTAAAAAAACTGCTACTTTCCTTTGTAACTCTGGATTTTTTTCTAAAGGTTGACAACTTTCCGTTTTTATGGTCGGTATGAAAAAAATACTTGTGCTGACATCCAATTTTCAGAAGACACTATGGCAACCATCAACCAATCACATTTTTTTTTCGAATAAGAACAATAAGTCGTTATTTATTAAACAACTGAGTCAAAACTTAAAGACGCTGGTGTTCAAATAATTCAGGTGATGCAGATATACTTAGAGTGGACAAAGTTTTAGAATTAGGAAAATCAGAAATTCGAGTAACATTGGTTGGAGAAGACACTAATTTAATGGTTTTACTACTATTTAAAACAAAATCCGACAACATCTTTATGTTAAGACCTGGCCAAACTACAAAACTTAATAAAAGCATAGGTTCCCTGCAGAACCAGATAGGTGTATACAACCTCTATCCTTTTCTCAAACATTAATAGATCAGAAAGTACTTTAGACCTAATGGTCTACTCATGTTTTAAGAACACATGAGGAATCACACCACAATTTTTTAGACTAATTAGAAAACACCCTGTATATTGTCAACTTGACAATGATTGTTGATAAATCAAAAATACCTTTTCTGTGAAAAAAGCCCGATTTTCGCAGGAAAAATTTTGGTTTTTATTGAATTTGGGCCTGCGTCTGCAAATACCCGGTATGTTTTTTAATATTCTATCTATCTAAATATTCTATCTATCTAAATTTTAAATATCATAGTCAGAAATAGTTTTATTATTTATTAACTGTAAAAATGGTATACTTATAAGTTTTATCAAATATTGTGATTTACTTTCTACCTTTAGTCAAATTTGTATTTAATAAACTGTAAAATATATATATTCTTATGTTTTATTAAAGTTACTCTGATATACTAATATATCAGTGTAACTTTAAAACTAAATCCTTTGAAATCAAATATAAACATTAAAAATATTTACAGCAGAAAAGGCGAAGGCGCTGGGTTAAACGTAGTCTCTACTAAGAACACGGAGGGGCGCTTTGACCCAAAATTTTACTATTAAGTTTCATATCATCTTAATAGAAGATTATTTTGGTCAAAACTTAAAGAAGCTGGTGTTCAAGTATTTCAGGCAGACGGTGATGCAGATATACTTATAGTAGACAAAGTTTTAGAATTAGGAAAATCAGAAATTCGAGTAACAATGGTTGGAGAAGACACTAACTTAATGGTTTTACTACTATTTAAAACAAAATCCGACAACATCTTTATGTTAAGACCTGGCCAAATTACAAAACTTAATAAAAGAACGCACATAGGTTCCCTGCAGAACCGGATAGGTGTCCTTACAACCTCTATCCTACTTTGCCATGCCATTTCTGGATGTGACACAACTTCGGCAATTTATAAAAAGGGAAAGTTGTCAACCTATAAGCTTTTAGAAAAAATCCGGAATTACAAAGGAAAGTAGCAGTTTTTCAACGCCAAATGCCAACAAAAGTGAATTAATTTCTGTAGGAGAAGAATTTCTTTTAATTTTATATGGAGCCGATAAATCAATAAAAACATTAGATCAACTACGGTTCGTAAAATTCAAAAAAAATACTGCGCGATAAAGCCTCAACTCGACCTTCTCCTTGACATCTCTGCCGCCAACATCCGACGCTGCATCCAACCACAGTTTGCGGGTGTATCACTAAATTCAGGCATGGTTGGGGATTGAACTTGATGCTCCTCTTGGGGATGGAAAAAAACAGGGCTTTTGGTATCAATAACTGCTAATAAGCCCATTGCCCAAGATTTTATTTTAAAATTGTTGTTCTGCAACTGTAGGACAGATTGTGGAAAACTGCGCAGTTGCAGAAAAGCTGGATTAGATTGCTCCAATCTCTGTTGGCAATGCCAAGGACAGTCCTGTAGCAATGTTCTCGTCCCTAAGTAGACTGATGAAAACGAGGATGACCACGAAGAAGACTTTGTTTAAATAAGGTACGTATTAATTTTACGCTACACAATGGAAAATATTAACACCAACATAAAGACTTTTAGTATACGCCTCTGTGTTAACTTAAATATGTACTTATATACATAATTTTGTAGGTATTTTTACTGGATTCCATTTTGTTATGTAGTATTTTTTTCTTAAATCAACCATTTTTGTAATAAATAACGAAAACTTTAAAAAATGTACAAAAAAATGGACTTTGTCGACTTTAAACGTTTGCTGTACGCCACTGTGTACATTAAAATATAGAATTATATACATCAGTTTGTAGATAATTTTATTGGCCTGAATTTTAATATCTTGTGTTTTTTCGAAAAAATCAACCATACTCGAGATAATGGGCGAAAACTAAAAAAATGCACCCTTGGGGGTGGTTTTGGGGTGGTTTGCATCCTCGCAGGGGTGGGGACTTTTTGTATGTTAATTGGGGCGACCAAAACTAGATATTAACCAAAAATCAGCTTCATGTGATTTTGTTCCACGAGCGACCTTAAATGCATTGGGGTATAAGGATTTATTGTGCCCGTTTCTTGAGTTACTCATCGTACAGTCTCAGGGCTTTGATAAAAGCTGGTATATGAGACGATTTTAAAGGGGTTAGTTCTCCATCTCCGACATTAGTCGTACTAAATAGTACGAGAGCTAGCAACAACGTCGGGAAAGCAAGTATTTTAAGAAATCTGGCTCTTTGATATATGTTTTACTATGCTCTCTGGAACAGTGTGCGGACCGTCTGGCTGCCGGTAAACGTTGCGTTCACTACTACACATTGAAAGAAGATCCTATCTTTTTATTTAGTCCTTTAAATTCTAGTATTGAATATAAACCGAGCGAGTTTTCATAGCGCAGCGCGAAAAGGTTCCGCCTATGAAGCGAGGAGTCCGAGTTCGAGACCGGCTCGGGGTGTAAAACTTTTTTATTTTGTTTTAAATTATAAAATATTATGAAATTTCATAGCTCTTTGGATAACGAATAAAATGGTGTATAGAAGTCAATTTTCAAAAACGTGGAACTTGTCGGGTTTTGCATTTAGACGACTGATGTGTATTAGACAATGTGGTAAAAAGTAACACCTTATACATTTTATATTTAATTTTTTTGACGAATACTTATTTATAACAACAGAGAGTTTCATTTTCATCTCTTATTATTATATTGACTTCTGAGTCAAATCCACATTTATTTAGAATAATTTATTAACTAAAACGTATGGTAATTAACTAATTTTTGGGCGGAAATAATAGCAGTATATTTAATTGGTATACTCTTTTATAAAGATTTTTGTAACAAATAGACATGAACTTTTTGTAAACAAATGGACATGCAATATTATTTTTATCACCTGTACAGTTTGTACATACAGACCGGACCACCGTAGTAGTAACAGACGCAGAACCCCACGAATTAGCGTATACCCATCCGCCGGATAAAAAGCAGGCGAAAAATGCGATAAAATAAAAATAGGTCGATATGTGATAAGAATGTTTCAGAATTTGTATTTATTCGTGTTTTAATAGCCAAAACGAATACGTAGATTCTCGCGACAGTTCTCATGTAAAATTTATTTTTTAAGTAAAATAATGGATGTTTATAAAGTTCGTGAGAAAATTCAAATTGGAAAATGGTATTTCCAAAATAGGTCTTATCGGGATATACAAACAATTTTTCCACAAACTTTTGTAAACAGGCCGATTCCATCTTTATCTACTATATCAAGAGTTATTAATAATTTTGAAACACAGGGGTGCGTGTCCCCACAAATCCATTTAAAAAATACAACTATAATATTTTTTACTTATTTGGGACACTATATATCTTGGAAAATTATTTTTAAATTGTAACAAAACCAAAACTTATAATTTGTAAAAATCTAATCGTTTATATAGCTACAATACTCCGTGTCGTATGTGATGAACAACCCTGTATATTTAAGTGAGTATTTCACTCGAAAAGCAAATTGAAAAACGTGAAAATGTATTCTCATAATATATACTTACGAAATAGAAAATAAATTACATCAATATGTTATCTATAGTTAAAATAATAAAGTACCTACTATTTTTTTCTGTTTGAGTTAAACCTAATGATAATAATTAATTGTTAGACATGTCTCTGCGTGTTACAGAAACTTTAGCACCATCTCTGAATCTCAAAGTTATATTTGTCTTCAATTTTATATCTTCGATTTTCTTGTATTGGCAATGAATTCTGAATTTCCTTATTACAGTTGCTATGATTACTTTCATGTTCATCATGGCATAATATCTACCTAAAAAGTCATATTAAAAAAGAAAGTGCGTTTCTTAGTAAATCGTCCTAAAATATATTACTTCTGTTCGATACCAATTAAACTTTTAGTTACGTAATCGAGGGCGCGATTTTTAAATACATTGTTGCCAACCATGGACGTATTCGGCGGCGGCCCATACAGCACACTTCGTCCCAGGGACGTACATTTTATGTCCATTTTACGTCGGTACGTCCCGAGACCATTTAGGGACACACAATTTTACCACACAAAAGTGTACGTACATAGTACGTACCCTATGTATGTACTATTTACGGTACATTGTAGGACTTCACTACGGACGTACATGCCAGTACGTACGTTTTTTGACAACTCATTACAAAATGTTATTTAATTTTAATATCATGACTGGATTATTTTGGTCAGATATACCTAATAATAATAATTAATGGACTGGATCGGTGGATCTTTTCTAGGCTAACGTTAATTCAAGTCACTTTAACCTCAACTTGTTTTATTAATAAATCTAACCCGACCGCTATAAAAAATGATTTCCTAAATTATCCAATGACCATAATGCATGACAGCCTTTGGGGAAATCTGATGGGTTAAAAATGCAATATATTATGCAATCAAGCTGCTAAAACAGGATAATTATGTAGTCCTATGTTTAAATTTCCCGCTAAGTTATTCGTTCACATTCGAGTCTTGTCGGAATCGAAAGTCGGGCGTTTTCTAATGGCGTTTTCGATTGGCAGATCTTTTAATAATCAACGTAAAAAATAAAAACAACAACACATTGAGTTCCCACCTACTCCGATCCATTTTTAAGCATGCTTCATTTTTCGATTGTGTTGTGTGAATGGGTGTCTTGGTGGCCGTAGGTTGTTCGACTTCCAGCTTGTTTTCTTCTATATATGTGGCGCAAAGATACTTCTAGCAAATATTACAAAAGGGCAAATGTTCAAATTAATCGGTTTGAAAGAGCTCTTCAAGAGAGAGGCTCCATACCCTAATCAAAATAGACAGCCTGGTTCATTCAATCAGGCATCTTTCCTTCAATCTTGTAATGATCAACATAGCACATCAGATGTTCCAGTTCTTGATTTACAGTCTGAAGATTCTCTGCCACATCTTAACATTAGCGAAACTGAAACAGATAACCCTCGAGATAACTTATGTTGTGTATCTCAAAGTGGGGAATCATCAGATGAATTGCATGATTCTGCCACATCTAATGTGACTATTTCACATTAGAGCACAGTCACAACCTGGAATGATTGAGAATCGGCCATTTTTTTCAAAACAAAAGCAAGAATTAGATATTTGAATACTTAGTTTTCTTTTTGTATTTTTAGTCAGAAGCAGTTGGAGAATAAAAAAAATGAAATTTCATTCATTGTACGTCCATAGTACGTACATTGTATGTCCATAGTACGTACATTTTATGTCCATAGTACGTACACTGTACGTACTTTCGACGTACATAGTACGTACTTTACCACATCCCAGGGACGTACAAAGCGTTGGAAAATGTACGTCCATAGTACGTACATAGTACATACCTGTACGTACCAGAGACCTGACGTTCGTCCCAACATTACGACGTACCAGGTACGTACATAGTACGTACCGTGGCTGTATGGGGGGGCTGACTAACTGGAATTTAACTTTCCCGCTGGGGATTCAGGCAGTGGCGTAGCTACCTAGGGGCTAGGCGGGGCAGTGCCCCGGGGCCCTCAAGCTCAGGGGGCCCTCGAATCCTTACCGGAAACCACGATCGAACTGAACTTTTAGAAATTTCACCCATTTTCAAAATAATTATGACAAGTTGCAACCCCACTTTAAGCATGACAACTCAGTTGAGAGAAATTCAAAAGTTATGAGTTAAATTCTTTTTGTAGGTTGGCAGTGTTGTCAATTTGACGGATAATGATATGTGCGAGTTCATGCACAGTGTATTGAACGACATCAATTATGCATCCAAAACTTTAAAAAATGCGACATCAATTTGACCGAGGCGAGTAAAGTTTTAGCAGAGACCACAGCAAAGTTGCATTTGTAGAAATGATTTCGAATTATTCAAGTGCAAAGCCAGTGAAACTGCAAGAAAATATGGTATTGATACCCATTTTCAAGAAAAAAGCAAAGAAAAGTTAAAAAACAGTTTGATGAATTAGCTGCTGATCACCGATTTTCAAACCGAGAAAAAATATTTAAAATTGACATTTTCAATAATGTACTAGACACAGTAATATCTCAATTAGATAGGTACACGTTTTATTGGTATGAGTGCAGTCTGTCATATATTCGATTTTCCAACATTCGATAACACCAACATTTTTATTACATGTTGATGAAGCAACTTTATTACAAAAGTGTGACGAATTCCAAAGAAAGTATTCAGATATAATAGACCCTACTTTTTCACTTCAATTTACTAATATTTACCACCTAGTTTTACCTCAACTAACTCAAGCATGGACTGTTCAAGCATGACTTGTTCATTATTTAAGGAAATAATGAGCAAATATGGAGTGCTAGAATGCGACCTAATGGAAGTATTTACAGCAATGTTATTATTCTTTGCAATTCCTGTCACTTCTGCAGTAGCTGAAAGGTCATTTAGCAAATTAAAAATAATAAAAAATTATTTAAGAAGTAATATGGGCCAAACTCGACTCCGACATTTATCGCTAATAGCAATTGAAAACAAAACCGCCTAAAGCCTGGATTTAAACGAAGTCATTGATACTTTTGCGAAAACTAAAGCTAGAAAAAAATTGTAAATATAATAAACCCTTGAATCTTCTCTATTTCGTTTTATTAGCCAAACCTACACCAAGTATTAATTGTAATTTATGTTGTTACTGTTTAATATTTTTATTACCTGCCCTGCAGTGCACAAAAAAGAGCTTAAGTAGCTTAGCTTTTTAAAGTATTTGTATATTTCATATTTTTATTTCATAAAACCCAATCAGTTTACATAGCAGTGGGGTCCCATTTTTTAATTTGCCCCAGGGCCCTTGGTTACCTAGCTACGCCACTGGATTCAGGTATAGCTCTGCTGTAAAAAATGTCAAGTTGCCACGTTTATTTATTTATTTCCTGACATTGTCGTCCGTTTTGACTTTTTAGTTTTGTATTACGAGTTTTTGGCTTAAATAAATTGTGTTGTGATACTTTATAAGCTCAAAAATTTTTACTAGCAGACCTTGCAGTCGAACATTGTTCTTTTTAGAACCTCTTCAGTGTACAAGTGTACAACTCATCGCAACTTTATCAGAATATTTTGAACGGAAAAGCGGTAGTAATGGACTTTTATGCCCCTTAAGTGCTGTTAAGAGGGTGAGTTTTGTTGATGTAAATAGTAACTGTTTACATATTTATAATTAATTTATGTTTGTCTCCTAAAATATTTTGATTAACAGAAAATATGTAAAAGAGGGCAACGCTGTAACGGTCAAGCTTAATCACGTGACTAAAAGTTTATTTGATATGAACTATATTTGTTTATGGTTAAATTAATTTAATCTTATTAGTATATTAAAGTCATTTTAGTAGCCTCAATGAGATAAAAAATAATCCTACTGAAACGTGGGTACAGGGTGTCCCATTTTAGTTGAAATCGTTATGATATCTTCGTTATTAACGATGAAAGGAGGATATACGGTTTGCACAAATCTGTCGTACTTTTTTGTCAAACGGAAAACGGAATAAAGAAAATGATAATAGTACCGTATGATCGAAAAAAAAACGGCGTCCATTGGCTGGGAAACGATGGTCGATGACATTTCCCATATAAATTTACATAATAAATAATAGCGATCTTCATTTCATATCCATCGCTGACACCCTTTTGACGGTATATTGTTTTATTAGGAGTAAAAATGACACTTCTTGTGGCGAGGCTGTACGTTTGACGGACGAGCGTTACTGGGTCGACATACAGCTAAGGCAAAAAAAGTCATTTTTATTCCGAATAGAACAAGCTATTTTTTTCAAACGCCACAAATAGATATTTTTTTAAACAATTTCAAAGGTTCCAAATACCTAATATGAAAAGATTTAAAAGTCATACCTTGTATGTAATTATACAGGGTGCTACAAATTCGAGGTCCGAGCATTGGTATCTCGTTAGTCGTAATAGATACGAACATGGTTAAATTGGGGCAAAGTTGCATCTTGAGATGTTCACCAAGATGCCATCGAAAAAGTTTTAAAAATTTGAAGGATTGCTGAGTTTTTTGGAATAAACTGATTTTTGTGAAAATCAGTTTTATTTTTTCGTTACTTTCTCATAGCCACTTTATTAGGGCTATCCGATAGTATTTTTAGATTTTCAAATTAGTTGATAGTTTTTGAGATGTAACAGTCAAATTTCCTCGCAACGACCTCTGTGTGCTAGCTCATAAATTATCGCAAATAACTATTATTTTTGCATCATGTTTACTATAATTTTATTGTTAAATATTATTTTATTTAGTATTTTACCATTATGCAACCGAATATACACCGCGATATTATACTGGCTTCAGCTCCACAATATTGTCACTGGCCCAGCATTAGAATTTTGTCCATCTCTCTATATCTTTGATCATCACCTGTTCGTCACTTATCATTGTCAGATCAAATCAGATGTTTTTGGATTTATTTATCCTTTGTTTTGGTTATTGAAATTTTATAATTATCAGATAAAATTTCGTAGTTAAATTGGTTATTTTTGATGTGGATCGCAGTGTGCAATTTATTCATTTAATTGTGGAATTTCTGAGTTAGTTCGTTCATTGACCGGATATGAAATATGGCTGTTGGAAAATATTCTAGAACATCGTTTTTATTTATGCCTTTTGTGAGTTGGACTAGTCAAGATATATAGTTCTCTATCTATATCCTGGAGGAGATTTCCGGTTGAAATCTGATTTTGTGAAGGAAATCGAATCCTTGCATCACTTCTTGTGTACCCACCGTCCGAATGTCGTCGTGAAGAACTGGCTGCCGTTTCGTGAAGCATTCCCTGT